TTTCATACCGTTACATCACTAATGTACATGCAAATTCAAAGCATTGGTAATGTTATGGTTTTAGTGATTATGCAAACAAAAATCATTTTATTTGTTGTTTGTTGATTTTTAAATATAAAACTTGAAGTGATTTATGTATCAGTACTTTTTGAACATTTTAACAATACCGTGATAATAATGATAACCGTGATAATTTTGGTCACTATAATCGTGATAAGAAATTTTCATACTGTTACATCACTAATGTACATGCAAATTCAAAATACGACATTGGCCGCCGTGACATAAAAACACCAATAAAAAAAAAACAGTGGTTCTGCAAAACCAATACATATTAATCACTCAAAATAATTAGGAACATTAAAAATGGCAAGCACCCCGACATCACTGAACCAATCAAACACACATCTGCTGCTTCATTATGTTTTATGATCTGATGTGTGAGTGAAATCAAACACTAGCTCTCCACATCAATAATCGAAGGGATTTTAATTGTCCTTCATTTATTATAAACATACTGCACTGTTCAGAGGTCAGTGAATCATGATAACAGACTGCATGAGCCTCGTCCAAACGCCTCTTAAACCAGACAAACACAGACTAGAGTCAGACGCCGTGATGCCGAAATCTCAGTTACACTCGTGATCTAACAGTACTGGCCAGAAGAAATATTTATCATCATTAATAAGTGTAATGTTATTGCTACTGCTGTTTTATAATAGCAATAATCCACCGGAGATACAGCCGAGTGTAACACGGTTCAGACAGTTTTACTGTAGTAAATTTTGTAAATGCTGATGTTTCAGGAACCTGTCAGGAGCTCATTGATCAGATGCATTAATCCTGATCAGCAGCAGACACATTGATCCAGGCTTGAACGACCATCACGTCTGTTCAGTCCTGCAGTGCATTATGGGCCGGTGCTGACGCTGGGATCAGTGGAACCTTCTTCCCCAGGACATCCGCAATAGCGATAGTTTTCGCACTTTTAAATCTCGTCTTAAAAATCATTTATTTAAACAGGCTTACTTTTGATTGCATATATGTGGATCAATGTTTATGAATGTTTTAATTTATTTTACTGTTTCTTGTTTTGTATGGATTTTTGGTTGTATGTTTTTTTTGGGGGATTACTTGTAAGGTGACCTTAAGTGCCATGAAAGGCGCCTATAAATAAAATGAATTATTATTATTATTATTATTATTATTTCACGCACACGTGTGACTCTTCCTGATGCACACAGATCTGAGGTTTGCACTGAAATCTCTCAATGACTGAAACATAGACTTGGGTATCGTTTGAATTTTATCAATCTCAATTATGATTCCTCTTATCGATTCCCAGTTTCAATTCCAATGTGGTTAAAAAAATTAAGTCAAACATTTATTTTGTGTGTCATTTTGGAAAATATTTAATTGCTGCTGAATACCAAGAACAAAAATCAGCCGGCTGCATAAAAACTGGACTCGATTAAGAGCTGTTTGTGTGCAAAAATAGAGCGGCACGATTCTGGATAAATTGAGACTTTTTTTTTTTTATGGAGGTTGTAGTTCTCTCACGATTCTGAAGAAAAAATATTAGACAACTAAACAAAATCTGATGGAATTTCTGAATGAATGATTCAATGACTCACTCAAGATTTACTCGATTCATTACTGAGGTATTCGAGATAGTGTGGGTTTAGTATCCATTAAGGGCACTGCACTTTGGCATTTTGAAGACATGGACAGACTTGCACACTTACTTCCTGTCGCGCGCACGCGCTCTCAAGTGGCCAAGACCGCAAGTGTGGGTATTTGGACAAGGGGAATGACTTAAGATTTACTCGATTCATTACTGGATGAATCAGTGTTTTTGAATGAATCTCTTGAATGAATGATTCAATGACTCACTCAAGATTTACTCGATTCATTACTGGATGAATCAGTGTTTTTGAACGAATGATTCAAAGACAAATACATTTTTAACAGCCCCTTTTCAAGAACTAAAAAAAAGATGCACACACAGGAATTGATGGGTGGAATTGAAATCTTAATTTTACAACAAGTATCCGATTCTGGAATTGGAATTGATTTTCGATTCCCAACCCTACTGAAGCACCAGCAGGACAACTGCTCCACGTCTTCATTATGTGAGCAGGATTTCATCATATTACTTACAGTTTAATTCATGGACGTGTATTTTGGTGACATCAGATCAGGATTAGACTTTAGATGAGGGGTGACATTCACTGCTCTCTTAAACACGCGTGCGTGTTCAGTGCATTACCCAACCAACACACCACTGAAAGCCATCACAAAACAGGGCTCCAGACTAACACTTGAGGGCAGTGGCACTAAGTTCTACAGATGGTGGAGCCAGGAGCAGATTTGGTAGCACTGGGGGTATTAAAAATAAAGATCAAAACATTACTATTGATTTGCATTAATAAGAGCAGTTACTCATAATATTATTATTTCTTGGTTAAGACACATTTGACAGTAAAGCACTGAGCTTGAGTTGATGCATACAAAATGTACTTTTTAACAACAGTAACGTGGAAAATTTTTATATAGAAAATTAATATAGGCTATTCTACTTGCATTAAATATACCATTATTCTTATAGTATTATATGTAACTGACCAACAACTTCAGTGATATTAAAAGGAACACTATGTGTGATTGTTGCAAGCAATTGTTAGTTGCTTGAATTTCTCTCTCAAAAAGGCTGTACAAACCCCGAAATGAATAAAGTAATAACATTCGACTATTTCTGCCACAACACCATGGTTATAGTTAGCGCTACTGCTTCTGGTTTTCTACGTCAGCACCGTTTGATCGGTTTATATCAGAGATTTCTGTGCAGAATTTGAATGCATCTCACTAGATCTTGCAGCAATCTTTATTCAAGATCTAGAGTTAGAGTTAGGTTTCATTTGCCGATTGATGTTTCTCATATGCAGCGCTTATGAGTCGGACAACACGGTGGTCGCGGCAGAAAAAATGGTCGCAAAATGTGACCATTTGGACACAGTCTGGAGCCCTGCAAAAGCAGCCCAGTCATTTAGTTCTTGCGTTGCTAAGAACAATCACAGTCTCTTCTGAGGACTCGGGTTCTTGTGATCATCTGTAGCTCATGGAGCAGAACATCTAAACCCAGTCAGACTCTGACAGATCGACAGTATTATACCGAGCATCTCACACACTTTCCATCCCAATCTCACACACAGTGACTGAATCATAACCAGCGCTAGTGAAGTGAGACTGGTGTATTATCAACTGCGCTTCATTAATCAATAATTTAAGCATTCTTATTAAAACAAACGCTGTCAAATGATTAAAAGTGAGTGTTTATTCAGTCTAAGGGGCTGTTTACACGACACCGTTTTTAACTAAAAATGCAAAACTTTTAAAGCGTTTTGACCGTTCATTCATATGACAACAGTGTTTTAGGGGCTTGAAAACACAAGCTTTTGAAAACGATACCATTATTGTTTGTGCAAACAGTGACGTCATGCATGTGTCTATGCACGAGTAGATGTGCACGAGCGTGTAGTGTTTCTTTACAAAGTGACGTCGCCAACTACTGACCTGGCATGAATAATACAGCATTTTTAGCCGTTTTCATGAATCGGTGTGTGAGCGGCAAAAAAAAAAAAAAAGCTTTATACGATTGTTGTTGTATAAATGACACAATGAGTGAATTCATTCATAAATTTACAGACAAATAAAAGCTACATCATTTGGGACAAAGAAATCAAAGTATTTTTAAGAACATTAGGATTATATAAATGTGTCTTGACTTCTCGTAAAGACGCTCATTACTGTAATTCAGTATTTTTACTGTAATATACCATGTTTTTTAATTAGATATAAAGTCTGCACAACAAATTACTTCTATGATGAATAAATAATTGCCATTTACAGTAATGATGTGAATATATGAAGGGAAACGGTCATGAAAATAATGTCCCAATGCAGAAACTCTTCCTAAAAACAGGCTTCAGTATTTTGTGTCAAATATAATTGGTTGGTTTGACAGATAAACATGAGAGATGAACCCATGAACCCATATTAGACTCTAAACAGCCACAGATGTTAATATTAGTGTTATGAGCAGTGCAGTAAACTGGCTGTACACTGATATGCTGACAGACAGCAGTGATGGTGAATTACACAGACCGACCCGATCACTTAATTCACACCTGCAGAAGATCCACCGGCTCTGAAGAACAGCAGTCTGTCTGTCTATCGTTCTGTCATATGCGACCCTGGACCACAAAACCAGTCATAAGGGTCAATTTTTCAAAATTGAGATGTATACATCATCTGAAAGCTGAATAAATAAGCTCTCCATTGATGTATGGTTTGTTAGGATATGACAATATTTGGCTGAGATACACAAACAAAATCTGGAATCTGAGGGTGCAAAAAAATCTAAATATTGAGAAAATCATCTTTAAAGTTGTCCAAATGAAGTTTTTAGCAATGCATATTACTAATCAAACATTAAGTTTTGATATATTTACGGTAGGACATTTACAAAATATCTTCATGGAACATGATCTTTACTTAATATCCTAAGGATTTTTGGCATAAAAGAAAAATGTACAATTTTGACCCATACAATGTATTGTTGGCTATTGCTACAAATATACCCCAGCGACTTAACACTGCTTTTGTGCTGCAGGCTCAGGAATGTGACCCACACATGACTGTCAGACAGCAGATGATGCTCACACAATCAACACAAATCCATTCATTTGAATTTAATAATAGACTAAACTAATTACCAGAAATCTACAAACCTACTTCAGTGTCTAATAAACAGCAGTACATCACACACACACACAGGCCTGCTGCACGTTCTCCATCAGCCAGATTCATGCTAATCAATTAAAAATAATTTAATTATTAGAACAAATCTGGGCAGTGACCAAGAGAAAATGGCACATTTTACCTTTACAAGGCGAGCCCTCCTCACACGAGACTGAGGTGAAAACCACAAATCACATCACTTCCCGATCACCTCGCAGAGCTCGTACACATCCTCGAACAGCACGTCGTCGTCAGCCATAACGTTACCGTTACTCCCGCCGACAGATCCGCTTTCCCTCAGAAACGCGCCGCGAACGTCAGAATCCGAGCGGCGACACCGGGATCCTGTAAATCCCCCGGATTCCCGTCGACGACCACCGAAGATGTCCGTTCACACCGAGCGACGATGATGATGATGTCAGGGAAAATCAACGCTCCGGGAAAATGCCGCTTTAATTAATAAATGTCAATGTGACGCGAGCAACCGAGAAAAAAACGCGCTGGTGCGCCCAAACGCTCGAGATCCCGCCGATCCGCCTCAAACATAAAAAACGCGCTCAACGCCGCCGCCGCTCCGGTTCCCGTCCGACCGCGTTCATCATTGTCCGTTAGACGCGCCGGTACACGCCCTGATCTCCCGTTAGAGCGGTGAGGTAAAGCAGCGCTGCCGTGTAACGGTTTTCTGCAGCTCTCCGTTGCCTCGGCGCCTCTCCTCCTGCTCCGCTGCTACTCCAGTACAACGCGCAAACGCTCCGCCTTCTCAAGTTTATGAAGCTGCCGCACGCCGAGCCGCAATGGCCGCCGAGGTGCGCGCGATTCCCCGGATGTTTCCGCTGACGCTCGTCGGACAGCTTGAGCCAAGATGTCGGCGGAAGGGCGCGCCTTCGAGCCCACGACGCTCAGTTTCCTAATCTGCCCAGAGAAATCCCGTTCTCCCGTCCAGCGGCCAATGGCAGACCGGCGTCGCTGCGCGTGCTGGTTGACCGTGCGATGACGTCAGAGCTTCTGCGATATTTTTCCTCAGGATCCGTGAATTTTCTTGTTGAATAAATGCTGCAGGAGGGCAATAGATTGAACATCGAAGATTCTCGTTGAATAAGAGTGGGCTCGCAGACTGAGCATCATTTTATGATCCTGATTCATCACATCCATCACTGATCCTCATATTCATATCAAGCGCAGAAATATTGTACAGTTCATAGAGATGCAATAAAAACCGATAGGGTTTGCTCATTCAAGCAGCTTTATATATATATGTGTGTGTGTGTGTGTGACCCTGGAGCACAAAACCAGTCATAAGGGTCAATTTTATGAAATTGAGA